CAGCACTGTTGTTTACGGTGACACTAGCACTGTTGTTTACGGTGACACCAGCACTGTTGTTTACGGTGACACCAGCACTGTTGTTTACAGTGACACCAGCACTGTTGTTTACGGTGACACTAGCACTGTTGTTTACGGTGACACTAGCACTGTTGTTTACAGTGACACCAGCACTGTTGTTTACGGTGACACCAGCACTGTTGTTTACAGTGACACTAGCACTGTTGTTTACGGTGACACTAGCACTGTTGTTTACAGTGACACCAGCACTGTTGTTTACAGTGACACCAGCACTGTTGTTTACGGTGACACTAGCACTGCTGTTAACGGTGACACTAGCACTGTTGTTTACGGTGACACCAGCACTGTTGTTAACGGTGACACTAGCACTGCTGTTTACAGTGACACTAGCACTGCTGTTTACAGTGACACTAGCACTGCTGTTTACAGTGACACTAGCACTGCTGTTTACGGTGACACTAGCACTGCTGTTTACAGTGACACTAGCACTGCTGTTTACAGTGACACTAGCACTGCTGTTTACGGTGACACTAGCACTGCTGTTTACAGTGACACTAGCACTGCTGTTTACAGTGACACTAGCACTGCTGTTTACAGTGACACTAGCACTGCTGTTTACAGTGACACTAGCACTGCTGTTTACGGTGACACTAGCACTGCTGTTTACAGTGACACTAGCACTGCTGTTTACAGTGACACTAGCACTGCTGTTTACGGTGACACTAGCACTGCTGTTTACGGTGACACTAGCACTGCTGTTTACGGTGACACTAGCACTGCTGTTTACAGTGACACTAGCACTGCTGTTTACAGTGACACTAGCACTGCTGTTTACGGTGACACCAGAACTGCTGTTTACGGTGACACCAGCACTGCTGTTTACGGTGACAACAGTACAGCTGTTTACAGTGACAACAGCACAGCTGTTTACGGTGACAACAGCACAGCTGTTTACGGTGAAAACAGCACAGCTCTTCACGGTGACACCAGCACTGCTGTTTACGGTGACACCAACACTGCTGTTTACGGTGACACCAACACTGCTGTTTACAGTGACACTAGCACTGCTGTTTACGGTGACACTAGCGCTGCTTTTTACGGTGACACCAACACTGCTGTTTACAGTGACACTAGCACTGCTGTTTACGGTGACACTAGCGCTGCTTTTTACGGTGACACTAGCACTGCTGTTTACAGTGACACTAGCATTGCTGTTTACGGTGGCACCAGCACAGCTGTTTACGGTGACACTAGCACTGCTGTTTACGGTGACACTAGCACTGCGGTTTACGGTGACACTAGCATTGCTGTTTACGGTGACACTAGCATTGCGGTTTACAGTGACACTAGCACTGCTGTTTACGGTGACACTAGCACTGCTGTTTACGGTGACACTAGCATTGCTGTTTACGGTGACACTAGCATTGCTGTTTACAGTGACACTAGCACTGCTGTTTACGGTGACACTAGCACTGCTGTTTACGGTGACACTAGCACTGCTGTTTACAGTGACACTAGCATTGCGGTTTACAGTGACACTAGCACTGCGGTTTACGGTGACACCAACACTGCTGTTTACGGTGACACCAGCACTGCTGTTTACGGTGACACCAGCACTGCTGTTTACGGTGACACCAACACTGCTGTTTACGGTGACACCAGCACTGCTGTTTACAGTGACACTAGCACTGCTGTTTACGGTGACACTAGCGCTGCTTTTTACGGTGACACCAGCACTGCTGTTTACGGTGACACTAGCACTGCTGTTTACAGTGACACTAGCATTGCTGTTTACGGTGACACCAGCACTGCTGTTTACAGTGACACTAGCACTGCTGTTTACAGTGACACTAGCATTGCGGTTTACAGTGACACTAGCACTGCGGTTTACGGTGACACCAGCACTGCTGTTTACGATGACATCAGCACTGCTGTTTACAATACAAACAGCAATGATGTGCAGGTAAGAAGGCTTGTCAGAAAGTCACAAAAGACACCGGTTATTTAACTTGCCTACTGCGACAATGGATCCCTGGTAGGTACAGGCTATGAAACCACAGGTTCATAACCTCACTGCCACAGAGCAGGCGTTTTCTCAGTCGAGTCATCTTTGCCAGACAGTTGTTGCGACTGTAGCTATCGTCACATCTGGGTGATCTATCTCTTTAGTTAACAAAAGCTGCAAATAAGGTGAGCTGAAAATTAAAAAGAAAACAGTTCACGCCTTTTGATATATTGGGCATATAGGGCTAGATCTATATTTTAGAGACCAATCGTCACTTGGTGGGCGATGTGATCAGCATCACTCCAGCCTCTTTTACTTCCTATGACTTTGCACGGTACTCATTTAAGGCTTGGTGGACCTTGAAGCCAAAGTCCTTTTTGTAATAATTCTGGTTTAGTTCTAATATGACCCCACAACTTTGGATCAGTAGGCGAGAGCTTAACTCTACACCACTACAAATCACTCATTTAATTATTTTATACTGACAGAAATACAGATTGTACAAATGTTGATTCTTGTGGCTCCGCAGATGGTAAAAAATACGACATATAGAGGAAGTACTACTGAAACTGGCTTATGTTTCAAATGGGCCAATGAATTGCACGACAAAGAAGGTGATCCAAAAGCGGTGTGTGCCCTTCTGTTACTGACTGACGGAGAATCCACCAACAAAACCCAGAGTAAGCACAGGTTGTATTTTAATGTTGTTATCATGTTTATACCATACAGTCATCGCCGTCTGTGGCAAAGGCGGTGGGAACTCCCTTCGTAATGCCAGGGTACCAGGTTCGATCCCAGCTGAAGACGGTTTGTCTTGCGTTGGTTTTGACAGTGATACCAAGAGCTGCCCATTTGCAACGGCAAACTACTGTAGGTAAAATTTGTCTTGAAAAACAACAGCCAAAAAAATGCTGGGATTGGCTCTGCAATATCCTGTAAAGGATACACAACTAACTTTAACCATTCAGTCAATTAAGACAGCAATATATTACACGGTCGACTTAGCTGACACTTAACCAATCGGCTGGTTTAGATAGCTATTTACGATATGGTCGACTTAGATGACAATTGACCAAACAGTTGGCTTAGATAGCTATTTACGATATGGTCGACTTGCAGACAATTAACCAAACAGTTGGCTTAGATAGCTATTTACGATATGGTCGACTTAGATGTCAATTAACCAAACAGTTGGCTTAGATAGCTATTACCACGCAGTCGGCTGAGATGACCATTTACCACACAGTTGGGTTAGATAGATATTTACCACACAGTCGGATCAGATGATCATTTACCACACAGTTGGCTTAGATAGATATTTACCAAACAGTCGGCTTGGATAGCCATTTACCACAGTCAGTTTGGATAGCCATTTACTACACAGTCGATTTAGAGAGCTATTTACCACACAGTTGGCTTAGAGGTTGCTATTTACCATACGATCTGTAGATTGTCATTTACCACATAATGGGTTATTGTACCCCTTTCCACACAGTCGGCTTAAATGACAAATTACCACATAGATTGCATGGTTCATGGAGAAAAGGGGGAGGGGCAAATGATATCTGTGACTCTATGGGTATAATACACGTGCACGAGATGGGTGATCTGGTGAGAGATCGTAAGAACGAACGAACGAACGAACAAACTTGATTTTCAGTGGGTTACGAATTGGGCACGCAGGCCGGTCTGACATTGGTCCTTCTAAGCACTCATTTTTCAGAGTACCAATGCTTGTTATCAATAATGCATGTTATGTATATAATTAAGAAATATACATTATATAATAATGCATACATACATCATAATTACACAATCTTACACACTCACACACACAGGTGCAATATTCTTACATTCGCATACATACACACTCATATACAGACATACGTAATACATACATACACACACACATACATAAAACACAAACACATGCATACATAGACATACATGCACACACACATTCCATACATACACACATACACATGCATGCATGCATACACACACATACAATCAAATATACAGACACCCACATACACTAACATACATACACCCACATACATGCATGCATACATACACATACATGCATACATATACACATCCATACATACACTCACATACTTACACACATATATACTTGCATTCATTCCTAAATACACACACATACACACACATGCTTACACAGATACATGTGCACACATACATCTACCAACATGGATACATACACATATAGATACATAAACACACATACATGCACATGCACATTACATACACACACCCACAATCACACACACACACACCCACAATCACACATACACACACCCACAATCACACATCGCGTTTCTTTGAGCCAGGCTAATGTGAGAACGACGTTCTGCGAAGGACTTACTATATATATATATATATATATTTATATATGCGTTTGTGCCACTGTATTTGTGTAGTTAGCAGTGCTTGGACTACGGGTTGGCTTATGCCCCCCCCCCCCCCCTTCCTTGTTTTTAAACACATTTTCTGGGAGGAAGGGCTTCAACTGGACTAAGGCCATAGTTTATGGCTGCCCTTGGAGGGAGGCTATCATGACGTCACGTACAAGTAGGCAAAACTACTCACCCCTTTCCACGCCTTTAAGTTTATTGCTCATAGAGCGCTAGACCTATACTTTATAGATCAACCAGCACTTGGTATGTGATCTGACCACCATCACGCCGGCCACCTTTGCTTCCCACGACCTTTGTCTGGTACTTATGTCAGGGTGGGTCTACCTGAGAAAAGTCCAACTTTGAATTTGAACCCACGACCTTGAGATCCCCAGGCTAGCCTCTGGTTACTACATCACGGCTGCTTCTATCAAGTCATGGGGCGACCCCGAAATGAAATGTTGGGATAATTGTGTGAACTGTCCTACCTGATCACGGTTTTTCAATGTCTCTTTCATCTTTTCTTGGCAGCATTGGAAACTTCTCAACAGGCTAAGGACAAAGGATGCATTATTTTCGCTATTGGAATTGGCAGCTTGATTAACATAGCTGAATTAGCAGCCGTGTCAACCAATAACAGCCTTATACTCATTGAGTCATTCAATGACCTGCTCAAAATACTAAAACAGTTAACTGAAAATGTGTGCAATGGTAAGTAACCTGGTCAACTGATAATCTTATTTTTAGCTTCATAGCTTCAACACGTAGTTGCTCTGCTTCTGTTTCAACCGCAAACACACAGTGTGTCCATCAATGAAGTTTTAGTATATTCATTAACATACACACGCATTAAAAGCATAGGTCAGCCATCAGAAGTGCTAACGCAGACATCTGACATTAAAAATGCAATTTATCATCGACGAAAGCAGCAGTAACAAACAAATCAACAGTTGCACACGCAATCAATTTAACTTACATAAGGCACCACCATTGCGGTGACAACAGACCAGGCACATTTTTTTGACTCTACAGTTTAGAACACCCCGTTAACACAGTCGAAAAACATTCCAGATGAAATGAGTATCGCGCCATGCACTTATTTCACTTGGGGGGCGACAAAACTATATCCTTTCAATCTGTAAATGAAGGAAAACGCAACGGCTACTATCTGTCAGAAGCAAACATTGTGTCACAACTAAAAAATAGTCACCGTGCCTTAGGTCAATTTTCACCAAAAGGCCAGTTAGCGTTGAGAAAAAATAAATACAAAAACTCGTTTGCGGAACTGCTTGAAACATTGAGCACTGATATTTAACAAATATGCTATAGGAATTTACACAAAGGCTGCGACAGAAAGCAATGGCAAACTACTGAAAGAAAATTTTACAAAAAAAACCCGCCAAATTTACTAGGGTTGGTTCTGTGTATCCTGTATATGATTTGCAACTGATACAGGATATGCAACTAATACAGAATATGCAACTGATACAGGATATGCAACTGATACAGGGTATGCAACTGATACAGGATATGCAACTGATACAGGATAAGCAACTGATACAGAATTTGCAACTGATTCAGGATATGCAACAGATACAGGGTATGCAACTGACTTATCTTTAAAAAAATTCTGAGCAAGGATTTTTTTTTCTCTTTTTTTGTCGTCTCACTGATACAAGGTTGTTAGCTATGTGTCCTGGTTTCGGCGTCTCCCTGATACCAGGTTGATCGCTATGTATCCTGGTTTTGTCGTCTCACTGATACCAGGTTGTAGCCAGTGTCATGGTTTGTCGTTAAACTGATACCTAGTTGGTAGCCATGTGTCGTGGTTTTGTCTTCTCACTGATACCAGGCTGTAGCCCAGTGTCATGGTTTTGTCGTCTCACAGATACCAGGTTGTAGCCTAGTTAGTTTTTTTCATTTTTTTTTTTCAATCTCACTGATACCAGGATGTAGCACAGTGTCGTGGTTTTGTCGTCTCACTAATACCAGGATGTAGCACAGTGTTGTGGTTTGGTCGTCTCACTGATACCAGGATGTAGCAGAGTGTCGTGGTTTTGTCGTCTCACTGATACCAGGATGTAGCACAGTGTTGTGGTTTAGTCGTCTCACTGATACCAGGATGTAGCACAGTGTTGTGGTTTGGTCGTCTCACTGATACCAGGATGTAGCACAGTGTCGTGGTTTTGTCGTCTCACTGATACCAGGATGTAGCACAGTGTCATGGTTTTGTCGTCTCACAGATACCAGGTTGTAGCCTAGTTAGTTTTTTTCTTTTTTTTTTTCAATCTCACTGATACCAGGATGTAGCACAGTGTCGTGGTTTTGTCGTCTCACTAATAACAGGATGTAGCACAGTGTTGTGGTTTGGTCGTCTCACTGATACCAGGATGTAGCAGAGTGTCGTGGTTCTGTCGTCTCACTGATACCAGGATGTAGCACAGTGTTGTGGTTTGGTCGTCTCACTGATACCAGGATGTAGCACAGTGTTGTGGTTTGGTCGTCTCACTGATACCAGGATGTAGCACAGTGTCGTGGTTTTGTCATCTCACTGATATCAGGATGTAGCACAGTGTCGTGGTTTCGTCATCTCACTGATACCAGGATGTAGCACAGTGTCCTAATTTTTTGTATTTGTCTTGCTTTTTTTCTGATGATGGATTTGTTCAGTTTTTTGCAGGTTTCGGCTACATCATTTGTCCATCTCTCCCTTGGTCTTCGCTTTGCTTTTCTTTCATATATTCTGCCATAAATAGTATCATATGCAGTTGTGTCTGGCTGCATTCTCTTTATCTATCTCTATAGTTCAGACATGTCTTATTCCAACTTTCTCTATAATGCTTGTATTCATAGCCTTGGCCCATTTTGTGTTGTCAGTGACCTTACGGAGACAGCACATTTCACATGTAGTTATCTTCTGTTCTAGGGCTCTTTTCATTGTACATAGCAACGATGATTAAAATAGAATATCTGTAGAAAAGAAAGACATTGCCAAGCTCCGTAAACATCCATGGAGGTCCTACGTAAAGCCTACATTGAGAGTATCTGTAATTGTACCATCTCAGGAAGCTGGCTGCATGGCGATTTGATCCCGCTAGAAAAACCTGAGAAAGACGCCACGCACATAAATGGCTATAGAATCATTACGATGCAGAACACACTAGGCACAAGATTGGAAAAGACAATAGCAGAATTAGAGAGAGAGACTAAAAGTGCCAGACTTAATTCAACCCACATCCAACAGCCGAGACCGAAAACGGAACAGCATAATTGCAAACCGTATGCGAGTTACATGTGTTGATTCAAGAACCAGGATCACTACTCTTGGATCTTCCCATAATCGCTACGTCCCTACATTGAACATTCAGCATTAAAATACAATTGGTGCAAGTAGCAGTTTGATTAAACATCCGTCTCGCCTCTCCTCTGAGTGTCGAGTATCGGTCTCATCCCCTGGTTACACCGCGCTGCATCACTCTTACAACACTGATAATCCATTGGCTTCTACGAATTTCACACGTGCTTCCATAAAGCCTTAACCATCTTTGCCTTATCACGCATTAGTATTCCATCAAGTTGTGCAGAGCCATCAATCTGTCGCTCTGTTCATTTCCCAGCGCACCAGAATTCTCGTAGAATACATCCAAATAATGCTCTTCAACCACGACCTCTGTTGCTATGCATGCCATTCTGCACGAAGTATATCTGTCATGACAATCCGCAGCATGCTTTCTGAGTCAGTTACAACCACGATGTGTGTGTTTTTGTGTGTGTGTGTGTGTGTGTGTGTGTGTGTGTGTGTGTGTGTGTGTGACGTTTATGTGAGGTATTAATCCTACATCACGTCAATGAATATATTCTTTTTACTCAGGAAGAGATCGGAGCACTTGTGGCCACATCCGATGTGCGAGAAAGATAATCTCAAAAACGAACAATGAATCATTAACAAGGAATCATGAACAATGAATCATG